TATATATATATAGAAAGGAAGATTTACATACATCTCAATTCCTATGTATTTACATATTTAAAACCAAAACTTTAATTTTTTATATACATACCATCTTATGGTGCTTATCTGTGCATGAAAATGTGTATTTCACTTATTAAAAATTAAAAATGGCGGTATTATTATGTGACAAAAAAGATTTGAGTGGTATAAGTGTCAAAAGTAAAGTTTAGGTGTTAGATATAAAACAAAACCAAATTAATTACCAAATCAAACCTGAATCAAACAACTCAAAATCAAACATAATTTCTACATTTACCACAATATAAGGAATCGACAACATGTTATTGTGCTTTCAAACAACAAAGGATTTTTATATAATATTTTTCAAAATTAAAGCAAATGATCACCTCAAACTATGCTCAATGACATTAGTTCCGCAAAAAAAAAGTTGTGCAGCACTCTTTCAAAACAGCTAGCCTAATTACCCAATCAAAATTTCAAGCATGTCAGATAAACTTATGTCCCAAATTTGATGAATGTCAGCTATGCAATGGTAGAGACTTGTTGAATAAAAATGTTATCATCATTACCATCAGTATAATGAGCCGTGAGAGAATTCATAGAATGGGAGAGAAATCTAAGAAAAGAAGCTTTAGTTGATTTTGAGGAGAAAACTAGAAGAGTCAGAAAAAAAAACAAAAAAGGTGTCAAATGAGGTGGATGGGATAAGTTCTCTTTTATCCTCATGACATGACTTTGATTCATTCCTTTAATACTGAAGCAAACTGGGTAAAGCTGACATTTCTCCTAAACTAGCTCATTCATTCTTTTTTACCGTCCTACTTTTCAGCAGCTGTAGTACCTTTCAATTTCAAAATAGCATGCCATCTTACAAAAGCAAATTCATTACTCATATGAGAAAAGAAGCAAGTTGCTGACAAAAGCTATAAAATGACAAATGGATTCATTTATTAACTAATAGAAAAGAAATCTCTTTTCACAAAGATGTAAAATAATTCCAAAAGAAATTTGGCCACTATTATGGAATAGTGGCTTTTGATGTATATCTCAAAATTAAACAGAGAGAAAACAAAAAAAAAAAAAAAAAATCGCCCAACAATAAAATGGTGGAACATAAAAGTAATTAATTTTGGATACAAGTTATTAAAAGAGGCAAAATTAAATTTTGTAGACAAACAAAATTTGAAAATGGATAAGCCAGCTAATTGCATTAAAAATATTTTCATAAAATTTTTAGGAAAATTTTGAAATAGAACCTATGTAAGGGAAACTAGAATTGAAGTGAGAATAAATGTAAGATTTAAAAAAGAACAATTCAAAAAAAAATGAATGTTTTAAGGTATACGATAATAACATAAGCCACTCTCTCATTTTAAAGAATATTTCAGTTTATAATAATTCTAGGTTAACATGAGTGTTGGGGCGACAAAACTATCATTCAAAATCAATATGAATTTGCAGAATTTAAATGTGAAGATAGATGTTAGGTAAAACCAAGGGAGATAAACAAGTTATTATAACAAAGAAAGATTGGCGTAAATTTATTATGAAATTGTGGAAAAATATTACCTTAAGTAATTGAGGCATACATAATAGAGGGTAAAAGATGTATTAATAAAATCAATATATAAAATTAAAATTGAAAAATCATCAATAAAAATAGGTAAATCAAAATTAACATCACAAAAAATTATGCAAAATGAAGTGCATATGAGGATTCATAAATTTGACCCCAGATAGTTGAAATAAGCTAAAAATGCTAATGACTGTAATCATTATTATCATTGCTAATTAATTTCCCATTTCACATTGGATTTCAGCATGAATAAGAATCAAAATTAAAGAGCTTTTGATATAACTGAAAAAATATAGATTAATATCCCATTTTACGTTATTCTTCACTTTGAACATGTAAGACAAAACCTTCAAAAGATAAAGAATTTAACTATTAAAAAAAGTTTAAAATTTACTTAAACTGAATGTTATCACGCACAAATAACAAGGTATACCTGATTATGTCCATATTCATAGAAGCCACTACTTCCTCTTCAGGTGAAAGTTCCAATTCTATTGGCCTATTCATTTAAAAAGTATAAATACCGCCAGCGTCAGAATTTGAACAAATGGAACACAAATGACTGTTGAGTAAATCAAGCACAAATGCTAACGCAAGAAATGAAATGATCATTCAATAAGCCATGCAAATTTGCAAGTTAATAGGCAATGGATATTTTACACGATTATGCGAAAAAACAAACTCGTACAGATAATTCCACAACAAGAGTGCAGTACAAATAGTACGATCATTGAAGAAACAAACATCAAGATAATCAACTTTAACATGAATTGCAACAATAATCCTTCTAGAATCAAATGTCAATTCAAAAGCAAGTTAAACCAAAGAAAAAGCAGAATTCCAACTTCCTTTTGTGACAAACTTAAAGTTAGATCTCTCCCTTCCTTAGTAAGCATAAATTTTAAGTGATAACTATGTCGTTGAAAGACATCGTTATTTTATTTCCCTAAAGCACGCAGTCTCAACTCAGCTTTGATAACCACAATCAAGTTACAATTGAGTAGGTTTGACGTGAGGATGTTTTATGCTAAAGAAATCAAAACCATCTGAATGGGCTGTTTTCAGTTCCTTCAAATTCAGTCTCAACCTTTCCAGGGTCTTGATTGAGCTTAGCACATTCTACAACTCATTTTTTTTGCTGAAATACACCTCGCATTTCTGGGCTTATCTAAGGAGACCTTTTACAGCATCAGGACTAGAAGCAGTTGGCTTGTGGATCTCTCTTAGCCAAGTACTCCAGCCACAAACTTTCATAGGTTATTGAAGTATTTTGGACAAAGCATTTCATAATTTTTAGAGGCATTTACAAAAATATCACAGAATTCTTATGTATTTAAACATCTAACAACTAAACATTCATGCTTACAAGCATATCACTCATATCTTTAACATCACATCAAAAATACTGTCATCACTCTCTTTTTAAAAGTGAAATACACCTTTTCACACATATGTTTATGACAACAAGGTGTTATAAGTGTAAATATCAAACTTTGAGTGTTGGATATGTAAATGCGAAGATATGTGTGGAATGTATGTAAATTTCCCTAATTTTTAAACTACTGCAACAGATATTCAACTGGCATACAAATTATAAAAGCTTCTTACTTCATTAGAGGCTGCAGACTTAGGGCTGATTTTGAGATGCACTCGAAATTGTATTTTTCATCAGCAGCATGCTGCAAGACCATTTTCTTAAACTTAGAACTAAAATGAGAAGGTTTTTCAGTGATTCTTGTGTGCATCAATTAAAATAATTGAGCAAAAAAGCCCCTTCGCACTCATATCAGAGAACACTTTGCATACATCCAATCCTGCAATCCATGCAGCTAGAATGCTTCAATAAGAAAGCCGAGAAATCTCACCTGATCAATTATGAACAAGTCTTGATCCAATTTTCCGATGATAAAACCAAGATTGAATTGCCCAATGACCTAAATCCATTCCCTTCATTCAGATAAACTTGAAAAAGGATAAGACAAAAAAAATAAAATATACGAGTAAATGGAAAACTCAAAATCAGTTGTAACATAAATTAAAGTCTTACTTCTAATAAATATAAACTTTTACGAAGTTTTTAAAAGTTCTGTAATTCATTTTGATGACTTAAATTATTCAAGCATCTAATGTTTATGATAAATCCATTTGAATGCTTATGAAAATATAGCTATGTTCTATAACAATATAGATAAATTAGTTTTACAGTTGATCCTGATTAGTGAAAAATCAAGATGGGTGTCAGGGCAATAACTCGCCCTTGTCACATCTCATGCTTGTGCAGAGATTAAAATGCAGTTTGAAAGCTTAAATATAATCAACCATCAATAAATTATTTAACATTTACTAACAACAACAATAGCTAGATAGAGGAAAAGGGTTGAAGTAGACACAAAAGAGTAACTCAAGATTAGGGGCTTGGTAGGTTTGAGATTGCTACGATAACAAAGCCTCAAATTGCTTTACCACAAAAGCATCCAAGATGCAAGGGAGCAAGGAAAAGATAGATGATAACAAAGGAGGCGATGACCCTAGCAACCTCAACGATTTCAATGAGTGGATTAAGCAAAGCAAAAAAAAAAGAAGAATAATAAAATAAGAAAGAAAATGATTACATCGACATTCGATGGCTAGGAGGGAAAGGAACTCTCTTATGACGACTACAAGGCTCTTTAAATTTCATCTCCTAACCAACTGAAATATTATGAGGAGATAAGAGCATTAACTAAGCCTTGGGTTAATGAAGTTATTCTATTTTATTTTAATGAGTTCAGAAAACAAATGCACTTTACAAGTTCGACTTTTGTGTTAGACCATCATTTTATTTTAATTTGGGCTTATATACTAAATTACAAAGGATAAAATGAGAAACATACAACCAGAGTCCACATTTATGACTCTTAATGAGGTGGGAGGTTCAGAAGCTGTAGGTAGAATGGAAAACAAAAGGACAAAACTAAGAAAGAAGCACTAAATAATGAGAACGCCAAAACTAATATAACAATAATATAAGGTTTTTTTTTTTTCTCGTATTGACAACATGCTAAATTTTGATGATAATAATAATAACATAAGTAAATACAATGTATATGAATGCTAACAAAAATCTACAATGGAAAGTATTCAGCAATGATGACTGCATTAAATAAGCTGCACCAGTTACAGATGATGATCAGCATGTGCACATTTAACATTCTTTTTTATGGTAATTACCTTTTTAGGCTAAGTGTACGACAATCTTTTCATGGAATAAGTAATTTGAAATTACATTAAAAGTGTCGTAAATGATCACCATCATTAGTTTTATCACAACTATATTGGTTGAACTTTATTTCCAATTCAGTGCAAACTTAGTGATTAAAACATCTTATTGAATCATTTTGAATATTTTAGTATCATAAACAATCATTTTCACTAAATTCAGAAAATAATAACGGATGCCAATTAAAAAAAAGTCCAAAAATGTGAAGCTACCTCCATTCTTCCAAAATCTTCTTTCCTGAAAAATCTCTCTAACTCTATAACAGCGGCGACTAAAGAGTCTGTTTTTCCCTCATCATTTTCTGACTGAGAATTTGTAATTGTTGCAGCAGAGTAACAACTACGCAAAAATATGTGAAAAATATAGGAAAAAATTAAACAAAATGATTCTGACTGAGCTACAAAAAATCAATTAATAAGAAAACAAGAAAGCAATGACTACCCTACAAACCTTCGAATTCTTCCTTCAGTTTTAGACTTTCCAGAGAACAATCTTGACATCCTCTTATCCCTTCTTTTTCTAATATCATATATGCTAAACTGCAGATGAGGATAGGTGTTTTGAGTGGAACATGCTTTTATCATTCTACTATTGATATTATGTGCCTCCTCCAATGATGAACCTAAAGTTAAAAGTTCTCCTGATTTAATTTCTAGGTTTTCTCCAGGTGGAGCTTCCGATGCTGACCCTGAAATGGAAAATGCTGAATGATGCTCTTCTGAATATGCTTTTATCATTCTACTATTTATATTATGTGCTTCCTCCAATGATGAATCTAAAGTTAAAAGTTCTCCTGATTTAATTTCTAGGTTTTCTCCAGGTGAAGCTTCCAATGCTGACTCTGAAATGGAAAATACTGAATGATGCTCTTTTGAATTTTCCTGACAAGTATCAAAATAAATGCCTTCAGTAAAAAGATTATGAAAAGGAAAAAACAGGAAAGCAACAGAAACAAGTGAGAAACACAAAGAGCAATTAAACAAAAAGCTGTTTGTGTATAATTTTCTAGTCTAAGCCGTTGTTTGGGATTATTCTTATTTTTGTTCTCTGTTTTTTATTTTTATTATGTTTTGTCTTTGTATTGATTTAAAATAAAACATGTTTGATATGGTATAACATATTTAATTATTTTTAAAAGCAATCCAAACAAAATTTAGATATTGATTATTTTTAAAAATAAGCTAATTTCTTAAAAAAATAATAAAAATATGCAAAATTTCAGTAAACAAACATATTTTTAAAATAAAGTCAAAATCAAAAAACAAAAGTGATCCCAAACAAGCCCTAAACTTTTATTGCCCGAGCCTTATGAAGTCGTAAAACATAACCTGAAGATGGTATAACATATCTTAGCAGCCATTCAATTTCTGTTAAGAGCCTTTAACGAGGACTAAAAGTACTTTCAAACAGTTCATCTAAAATGATTGTAATCTGCCAATATTTTCATTGCCATAATAGAAACAGGAAATGTATGGAATTATTCAACTTCAATTTCACATTTAACATTGCATACTTTGAAGTCACGTAGCTTTGTCTCCAAAATTTATTTTATAGTCAATCCAAAATATATGCCAACTCCTACCAATCTGCCTTCAATGATAAAAAATTAATGTTTGCATCAAAAACCATATATAAATTTTTTTAACAAAGAATGTCTGATACCAAATGATACCGGAGTTTAACCCAAACTACGACGCAAGACACAAATTTATTAATAACTTAAAAGATGGGTACAATATGACTGCTGAATTCCGAAAGGAATACAAACATGACACTAGGGAAGCAAAAAATAAACGACAAACAACATGACAACACAAACAAATAAAGACAGCCCCGTGGCTGGATGGTGGTTGGCAAGGAAAACAGCGATTGGAAGGGTTACTGAAGCAAGCAGTAGGGCTGATGGCCTTCTAGCTGGTGGTGGGCGGCCGCTTGGAGAGCTAGATGGGTGCTGGGAAGAGTCGAATGGGCTGTTGGAGTGTGGTTGGCGAGGGAGACAACGACTAGGAGGTTGCAAGAAGAGGGCTGCGGTTGCTGTAGGAGAGCTTGGAGGTGGCTGGCAGCTGTAGGGGAGGAGCTGTGGGGCTGTAAGAGAGCTGGGAAGTGGCTGGCAGCTGTAGGGGAGAGGCTGCGGGGGCTGAGAGATGGAATGGCAGCTGTAGGGAAGGAGCTGCTGGGGCTGTAGGGTTGATGTAGGTGAGCTGGGAGGTAGCTGACAGCTGTAGGGAAGAGGTTGCACGTGGCTGAGAGATGGATCGACAGCTGTAGAGGAGGAGCTGACAGCGTGGGAGAGGAAGTGTGGCTGGATAAATATCTCGGTGGGGTCGAGATACAGTCGGAGCATCACCCTAACCCGTGGAGACGACCAACACCTCAGACAAAGTACAATCGAAGCACTACCTTCGGATACAGCCCTCAAGAGGGAAAACACTAAGACTGAATTCAGATTTCATAACACAGCCCCAAACTCAAAGCACAACATCTCCTATTTATAAGGAAACATAACCTATGTTAGGAAACACTAAAATAAGAAGGAGAATAAATTCAGATTTCAAATTTGAGGAAAAGATTTGAGTTAGGAAGGAGAATACAAATCAGATTTCAGTTTTCAGGAAAGGTTTTAAATTAGGAAGGAGAAAAAAATCAGATTTCAGTTGTATGAAAGATTTTAAATTAGAAAATGCCTAAAACAGAAAGTAAAAAAAGAAGGGAAAAAAAGGAAGAAGGGTAAAACGAAATGAAGAGGAAGGAGTAAAACCCCCGTGTCAACACCATTATATCTGATTATGATATGATAGAAGGCCTCAATCTTTCAATATATTTGAGTTTCTTTTTTCTTTTATACTGAAAGCAAAATGCAAGAAAATGCACGTGATATAGGACCAAGGGATTTAACCAAGCAGCCATATGGAAGAAAGATGAATAAAAAAGAAGTAAAGCTATTAAGATATGTACAAGTGAGTGTAAATGAGGAAGAAACTAAAAATGAGTAAATTGTCCAAAGAATAAAAAAATGAATCACAATAAAGCCGGGTTTAAAATTGGGTAATTAAGTAGTGTGTTATTTTTTAAAGGTGAGGCATAGATCTCAAAATTAAACGCTTAAAACAATAAATAATATGAAATCATAAAGAATTTAAAAGTAATTTTCTTTCATGACTCGACAAAAAGTAATATCATAAAAATATGATCTTGATTTTCTTCTAAAAAATATTTACAAGTAATAAAAAAAGTGTCAAGATAACATTATAGAAATTCATACGAACACTTATAAAAAAGCACAAAGTTTAAAAAAATAAATAAATATAAACAAGAAGCGCAAAATAAATAAAGAAAAATGTCAAAAAATAATCAAATTATGATATAAGACTTCAAATTCAAAAATCTCTCCCACCTTCATCACCTAGCATTATCATTGCTTTATGGCCATATTGCCTCCCTCATCCTCACTTACATCAATATCCATTCGATTTTCTTCATCATTTTCAATTTGAATAATCTTTCTCTTCCCTAAGCAATAAGCTGCAAAAAGAATATCATTAAAAACAATAACTATATTGGCCTTCTTCAATTTCTATTATATTATATTTTATACTAACATTTTTCAATTTACTTTCTTGTCGGCATGTGCTATTCCTTACTCGTCAAAAACTCCAGCATTGAGTTCTTCCTCTTATAACTGCGATGGTGAAATTCCATTTTCACCCTCCACAAGCCATTCTTTATCTGTACATCACTAAAAACTAGAGAACTTCATAATCGTCCAAAAATTTCATACAAACAATAAAATAGAGACATACACCTCATTACATGCACCTCGAAATGTGCCATAAACCATGTAGGCTTACGCCTCTCTCTCTTACTATAAAAACTCTTACCATAAAGAGCAAAACTCAAGACACTTCGCATGAACATCACCCTGAGGCAAGCCTCAAATTATGCAATTTTAAAAAAAGATAATAAGGGAATTGAAATCATCAATAAATAGTAGTATGGCTTAGGTTTTTGCCATGACATAATTATCATATCAAAAGCAACATTCAACTTTTATTTTTCATACAGAAGGGGAATTACTGCTATGGCCAAGAGAAAGCTTCATGGTGTATATTATTTGCAAACATTGTTCTAATTGAAAGAAAAAAAGCAAGATCAATAAGTGTGGTAATAAAAAAAATTTTGAATTATAATGTAATTGAACAACCTTATGTGTGGACGATGAGTTAACTTTAAATGAAAGTTGTATGGAATGATTGCTTACCGAAATCAGGACAGGATAGGTTGCTTGGCCCAAGATAAGAACAAAGAAAGAATATCCGGTTGTGCCCTAATGATGTAAGGTCATCGTAACCATTAATTCTTCCTCGCTCCATTTCCATAATTTTTAGATATTTTAAAGTGTTCTGTTTTTTAAATATATGTTAGAAGTTATATTAGAAAATAATTTATTTTTGTTAAAAGTTATGAGGATTAGATTTATTTCCTTGGACTGGACTTATTTCTTTTCCTATTCTAGATTTATTTTTTTGATTAAATTTATTTCCTTTACTATTTTAGACTTTCCTATTTTATTTTGTTTCCTTCATCTCCAAGTAATTATTCTAAATTAATTAATTGAAAATATAGATGTTATATCTCCCTTTTCATGTTATTTCATTTTTCTTGTCTTTCGTATCCTATGATTCATGAAAAGTATTTATATCTTCTTTTCATATCAATTAAAATCATTCTGTTGAACTCTGAAAATCAACACGGTATCAAAACCTTGAAACAAACCTTAGAATCTCCTACTGTCGAAAACTTCTTATTCTCTGTCGTGTTGCAGACCCTTCCTCCTCCTGTTTTTCAATTTTTCCATCGGGAGCTTCCTCTCCCTGCAGGCCCTGCCGTCCAAAATTCCTGATTCCTGCTGCAGTAATTCCCTCAAGCAGCTAGAAATCCTCTCTGTCGACTAGAAAACTACCTGCAAAATCCTGCAAGCTTCCTTAGTGGAGACGCATCCTCCTGCAGTCATTCTGCTACATCCGGATCTCCTTCCTGTCAGTGCTGAAATTCCTGCATTCCAAACCTTGGTTTACTTCTCTATTTTCTTCCAGTTGAATCCGTGTTTTAGAGATTTAAGAATGGCAACAAAGAGGAGCATTAGCGATTTGAAGGGAACAAATCTGAAGGGCAAGAGGGTGTTCATTAGGGTGGATCTGAATGTTCCTCTCCATGACAACCTCAAAATCAAAGATGATATCAGGATTAGGAATGTCGTTCCCAGCACAAATTACTTGAGCGAGTGCGGAACCAAGGTCACTCTCTGCAGTCATCCGGTCCACCCTAAAGATGTCACTCTAAAATACAGCTAGAGGCCTCTTGTGCCTAGGATATCAGAACTAATTGAAGTTGGCATTGAGATGGCCAATGATTCCATTGGAGAGGAAGTGGAGAAAATCGTCATTGCATTATCTGATAGTTGTGTCATCCTCCTCGAGAATGTGAGAATCTATAAGGAAGAAAAGAAGAATAATCCAGAGGTTGCAAAGAAACTTGATTCACTTGTTGGTCTCTATGCTAATGATGCCTTTGGAACTGTTCACAGAGCTTATGCTTCAACAAAGGGCATTACAAAGTACTTGAAACCTATTATTGTTGTCTTTCTCATGCAGAAGGAACTTGACTGCCTTGTCGGGGTTGTTGTGAATATGAAACAGTCATTTGTTGTCATTATTTGTGGTTCAAAGGGTTCAACAAATATTGAGGTGATGGGGTCGCACTTAGAGAAAGTTGATATCCTTCTTAGAGGTGTAAACGAGCCGAACACGAGCTTAAAAAGTGTGTTCGTGTTCGGCTCGTTTGCTTAGCGAGCCGAACAAGAGCCGTTCACGAACAAAGAGTC